GCGGCTGGTGGAAGAGGGAGGGCGCCGGGCAGCTCCTTCCAGCCGGTTTGCCGGTGAGAAGAGCGAGGCGAAAAGGCGATCGGCGCAAAGTTCTCCAAGGCGCAAGGCTCGCCTTCCTTTCGCTCCTGGAGGGAGCCGGCGATGGACGGGCTGGCGCGGCAGAAGGCGAGCGGCGGAGCGGCCACAGCTGCTTTACTGCCTGCCTCCCCGCCCGTTGGGGCGGGCGCCTGCGCTTGCCTTCCAGGGGACCGCCTTGCGCAAAGGCTGGTCGGGGGCTGGCGGAGCAGGAGGTGGGCATTACCTGAGCTCTGGGCGGCCAGCCTGGTCTTCCTGGGGCTGCTGACCGAATCATTGTGCTCGACATCGTAGGACGCAGACGCGGCGACCGCCAGCAGCAGCAGCAGCACCACCGTGGACTTTTGGAGCATTCTCTGGCCAAATTTCCGCTAAGTTCGGGCGCCCGGCGCTTCTTGGGTTGCTCCGTCTCTCTCGCTCTCAACTCCTTCTCACCTCCTCGGCTTGCGCAAAGAAGCGGATCTGGAGGGAGAACGCGCGCGATCGAGGAGCGCTGGTGAGCGAGAGCAGCCGGCCAAGCTTCCCCCTCCCGTCTTGGCTTCCAGCGCCTACTCGCTGCAGGTGGACCAACCTGGAGCTTTTATAGCCTCCCTTATCGGTCCAGCCTCTCCCCCCCTCCCCACAAGGTCAGGAACCAATCCGAAGAGGCGGTGGGCAGCCAATCGGGAGAGGCGCTCATTCAAGCACCAAGGAGCCAGGAACTTTATAAGATGAATTTTTTTTCCAGCCTATTAAAAGAGCCTTGCCAAGCAAGAATATGAACCAAAGAGAGAGAGAGAGGAAGAAGGAGAAGTAGTTGAATGTTGGTGGAAGCTGCAAACTAGGTATATTGTTAGTTCTGGCCCCATGTTCTGGAGAAGTAGTTGAAATGTTGGTGGAAGCTGCAAACTAGGTGTATATTGTTAGTTCTGGCCCCATGTTCTGAGCAGTGCCGGGAAAAGTTACATTTTTGGTCTACACATCCTATTGGTCCCCTGCCAGCATCCCTATGGCGGCTGGGGGAGTCTGGGCATTGTAGTCCAGAAAAGCAGCTTTTGCAAGGTCTGCTGCTGCTTGAGTAAATGCCATGCTGGTAGCACTGGGATGCGAAATCCAGAGCATGGAAACATTGGGGGTTGGGGATTACAAAGCCCAGAGTCCCCCAAACTAGCATGGCTCTAACTAGCAGAATACCACCAGACTCTGGAGAACTGAAATTTTGCAAATCAGAACACCTGCCTTCTGCATATGTCTGATAATTTTGCCTATTATGATGAAATGACGTTTGGGAAATGAAAGGTATCCTCATTTTCATGCACATATTGAAGGGTTGCCACAGATATGTGGATGATTAATACAAGTATGCAAAGCATCTTCACCCTCCCCAGTTTACAGATGATATCAGCAGATATTTTACTCATTTGTTTATATCCTGCTCCAAGTCGAGAGCTTTTTCTCAGAAGTTACTCTCACTCATCTTAGTAAGACATGTTCCCACATAAGCAGCCTCTGGATGTTTGTGGCTAATGCAGGGGGAAATGGCAAGATTAAAAAGAGAAAGAGCAATCAAGAATGTAATAGATTAGAGCTGGAAAAGTAACTTTTAAAAGTAATTAGTTCCAGGACACAGAAGCAGTAAGTTACCAGTAGACATACAATGCTTTCAAAGTAATTCTTTACTTTCTTATTTCTCAAAAGTAACTAAATGGTTAATTCTGAGATTCTTGAAAACACAGCTGTACATCTAAATGCACACTCTGCTTGTCTTCTCCAATGCCACCTCAACACCCCTAACAAAGCACAAGCTGGATCTTATCTCCATCAACCAAATGAAGATTAGGTCTTTTGTAAAGTTAACAGCCCCTAATTGCTCATTCAGAACCAAAGCCAACCTCAAAAACTTTGCACTTCGGGTTGAATAAATTACAGTGTGGAAGGGATGGTCACTCTTGAATTGGCCTTCTCAGCCACACTAGGCACTGTTCGAAATCCTCTATTTAGAGCATGTTACCATCGTCCCTCGAGACTGAAGGATTCTTAGTCAATTTACAACAGTACACTGTTTTTTGGAAAAAAAAATCCATTTCTTTCTTAGCTACCAAGATTATGGCAACTAAACCCTGAGGAATCTGGGAAGCAGGGAGTGGGGGGTGTTGCATGATTTCATAGTCCCTGCTTATTGAGAGAATCCCAGGACTTCAACCTTGCTGAACGTACCATACAGAGGCAGGCAGGCATTCAGTCACACAGCCCCATCCTCATCCTGTTCATTCACTCTATAATTCTCAGGGGAAAAATGCACCTTGCTACTGAATCAGAAATACTCTCCCCACGGCTGCAGGAGCGGGGTGCTTGAAGGGAACCTGAACCGGAGGTGCTGCAGTGACCTATGGATCCAGTGGGATATCCTCTGTCTGCTTTCACTTTTGCCTTGCACTACCAGATGATAGCAGGTGAGAAAGAAGGCAGAAGGCTGATCTGTGCCTTCTCGGTCCTCTAACAGAGTAGATAACATAATCATATCCAAGGAAGAATTCTGTGTGCTTCAGCAGCATTCCTTCTTTCGAGATGTGAGAGCTTCCTTTTTATACAAGCCCTTTCCAAATCTTTTCTCCTCCTAACATGCTGAACTACACAGCCGTACGTTTTTGGGGATGCTGGGACCTAGTCCTCACTCTGGGGCATACCAGGTGAGGGGAAATGGCTATATTCAGTTTGCCCTTGGGGGATCACTTCTATTTTTCAAACTACAGTGATGCCTCGCAAGACGAAATTAATTCATTCCGTGAGTCGTGTCGTATTGCGAAAATGTATTGCGAAGCGCAGTACTAATGGTTGTGTGATTTAAAACAACCCCCTCCCAAAAAAAGAAAAAGAAAAAGAAAAAATTGATCTTGCAAAGCACAGCCATAAAAAAATTCATCTTGTGAGTAACCAAATATATATATATCACAAAACGCTTTTGTCTTGCGGGGTTTTCATTGCATGAGGCATTCGTCTTGCGATATATATATATCACAAAACGCTTTCGTCTTGCGGGGTTTTCATTGCAAGAGGCATTCGTCTTGCGAGGCATCATCTCTTCCTCACTCTGGAATGAGTTGGGTGCAATACACTTTATGTCTGCAACACATATTCATGAATGAAAGACCTGATTGCTATTTCACACATTGCAGCACTTGTGTGTGTGTGTGGGGGGGGGCGTTTGTGACAATTTTAAACACATCTTGAGCCAAAGCAACTGAAATGCACTAATTCAGGATGGGGTGGAGTCTTCAGAGATGGATAAAGGCAGTGGGAATAGACCTAGAATATAATCCTTGGGCGAGAATAAGAAGATTGCATGTATCATTAACAGTGAAATATTAGAAAGCCAGTGGGATACGTACGTGGCTACAGAGCCGGAGGCTGGGAGTTTGATTCTCCACTGTGCCTATGGCTACAGAGCCGGAGGTTGGGAGTTTGATTCTCCACTGTGCCTCTAAGGAAAAGTGCCAGCTTGTGTGGCCTGGGGCAGGTTGCACATCCCCGCAGTGCCTCCAGAAGGAACAGCCAGTGTCCCACTTCAGAGTACGCTGTACCTGGGAACGGATGCCATAAATGAGAACTGACTTGATGGCATGTAATGATAAATAGAGATGGGCATAAACTGCCTGTTCTCTATAAACTGCCTGTCTGCTGAACCAGCTATTCATGGCCATCTCTAAAAGATAACTATATTAGTCAATAGATATGGGTCACCTTCTGATTAGTTGAAAACCAGTGGTCAGAGATGTCCCAAGGCAGTTTGCTGCCTATGTTAACCTTGCTGGGGCAGGGGTAGGAAAACTCTTGTATTCTTGTTTTTATCCACTATTTTTCTTTTTTTAGGTTTTTTTCGCAGCTGGATTTTGTCCATAGTTTGGCAGGGCAACAGCCCTTGTTTCAAAAACATGGCAGTCGGCAGTTGTAGTAAAATGCAGGGGAGGTGCCAAAGCCCACGATTCAGATCGCAAGTGTAGCCACCAACATCAGAACGGAACTTTAAAAAGGAGTGCATTTTAAATAAAACTCCCACAAGGGAACACTAACGGCGACTCATAGGCCACGTGACTAGCCCATGGTGACTATAAATTGATTTAGTTCGCACCAGGGCGTATCCAAAGATATATTGGCAGTGTAATCGGGCTCTTGTTTTGGCAGCGAGGGCAGAAAAATCTAACCAGCAACTCTTGCTTTCTCTGTGGCAGGACAAATGCATCTGTAAAATTGTAAATGCAATTGTAAAAAAATCAAATAAAAATCTGATGCCCTTCCATGACAACACAAAATCAGCAGCCTGAGGTGACCGCCTCGCCCTGGCTTCCTGTAGAACTGGCTTTGGCGGGTGTGTATTTTGCACATACGCTGGATTGGTGCTGGAGCAGTAGAATAAACAGACCCTTTTTTTCATAGTGTAGCGCAAGACAACGGAAAGCCAGGTTTGTGAGTCCTGCCGTTTTGGCTCAGTTATTCCTGGTGAGAGGAATCGTCCCCTTGTCTTGTCCAGGATCTAGACTTTAAAAAAGTTAGATTTTCGGTGACTTCAACCCCCAATCATCGAGCTGGCATGGTCAAGGTGGAAACAATTCCCCGACTCAGCAGAGGATTCCAGGACTTCTCCGAGCTTCCAGACATCTATCTGTCATTTGTTTTTACAAACCCGCTTCGTGCTGAAAGGGGCCCTCGAACCAGTTCACAAGAGAACAATTTATGCAGCATATCACAGAAAATGTTATTCGGGAGAGGCAAAACTTGAAATCAAAATAAAAAGCCACCCCCCCCCAAAATAAAATAAAATAAAATAAAAAGTCCTAATAGTTCTCTTAAAGCTCCTAAAAAGCACAAGAAAACTATCAAATGGTATTCATCATTCGTCATCATTTTAAGCTCGGGATTTATTGTCTGCAGTTCAATTCAGCATTCTGGGATAAAGCTAAAAGCACACGGGGAGTTTCCAGATACGGCTTTTTAAAAAAATGCAATCATTTCAGCCCATTCATGGAATTTTGCAGGGCATCCATACTGGGGGCTCAAAATTAATGAGTTACTTGTAATTAATTTCTTCTCTCCTTTTGTGATGTAACTTCTTTTAGTTTTCTTGATAGTTGTAGCCATTTGGCTTAACTACGTGGCAGGGGAACCAGCGTGGCTATGATTTGTAGTTTAAAAAAGTAACTTTTCCAAACTCTGATGTGGCAGCTCACTATTGGTAGCTCC